CCAATGCTGGCCTTGCCCCCTGCCACTGGGTGCTGACTCACTGGGTCCACTCGCCCTGCACCCCAGGTACTTTGAGGAGATCTTCAACGCCAGTGGGAACCCGGAGCTGGTGAGGAAATACGGCGACTGGTTCACCTACGACAGGAACCCCCGCGCCCAGATCTTCCGCCGCAATCAGACGCAGGTCCATGACCTGGACTCCATGGTCCGCCTGATGAGGTGGGTGCTGGGGATCCCCCAAACCTGGATCTGCAACTTTCAGGGCTGGGTTTTTCATCGTTATAAATTTTTTAAATTTATTTTTCCCCCGCTTTCACCACACCTCTCCCTTGGCTGCTTTGCAGGTTCAACAACTACCTACAGGACCCACTGTCACGGTGCCGGGGCTGTGACCCCCCCCAAAATGCAGAGAACGCCATCTCCGCCCGCTCCGACCTCAACCCCGCCAACGGCACTTACCCCTTCCCCGCCCTGCGCCAGCGCTGCCACGGTGGCACCGACATGAAGGTGGGGGAACTGAGGGGGCACTGGTGGTTCCCTCTTTGGGGGTGCACGCCCAGACTGCATTGCCCCTTCCACGTGTTGACTTGCACCCCTGTTTTTTCTTCCCCCTCCAACACCAGGTCACCTCCTCGGGCATGGCCCCCACTTTTGGGCTGGTGGCTGCCAGCGGCCCCCCCTGGGACAACGTCCCCCCCTTCCGCTGGAGCACGTCCCCCTGCGCCTCCCTGCTGCACATGGGCCACCCTGACCTCTGGACCTTCCCCCCTGTCAAGGTCCACTGGGACTGACCCGTCCGTCCATCTGTGGGTGTCTGTCCTGTGTGGGCACCCCTTCTGGGGGACAGCTGAGTGGTGGGGGCTCACAGCGCTACTGGCTCTCCCCTGTCCCCAGGGCTTTGGGTGCAAAAGGTGGGGTCTCCTGCTTCCCCAGCTCTTTCTGCTTCTGCCTCTTGCTGCCACATCTGGGGCCCAGCTGTGTGCTTGCCCAGGGACACCCAGTTTGGGGGCACTCTTCCCAGAAAATGGGGGGGTCCTGGGAGGCTGGGGCTTGCCCACGGGGCAGAGTGGAGGGGAGCAAGCTGGTTTGGCTGTGACAAATAAAGCAGAGTGTGTGCAGGGGCAGTGGTGGCTGTGCTCTGCTCTGCTGAAATTCTCTGGTGTCTTGTATAAGGGTTGGGCTTACTCAGCAGCCTTCTCCCCCCAAATTAATGGGGTGCTCCCTGCTTCTCCACTGCCTCCTGGCCCCTGTGAGGGTTTGTGCATCCCCCTTAGGGCAGGTGCTTTTGGGGTGCAGGCTGCTAAGGTTTCTTTGCTGCTGCGTCTGCCCCCCCAGTGTGGGACAGAGCTGCTGGAATGGGGAAGCCTGGAGTGTGGGCTGGAGGGCAGAGGTCCCACTGCCTGCCCCCCAGGATGGAGTGAGCCCCCCCATCCCTTTTGTCTTCCCTTCCTCTACCACCTGTGTGTCCCCCAAAGCCCCAAAACCTCAGTTGCAAAATCCTCTTACCCCAGGTCCCTTGATCTGCTCCGCCTCATTAGGAATAACGAGGTCATTACTAGGGGATTAATGAGCTGGTGCTCGGCAGCGCTTTGAAGGTACCAGGTTCCCACCAGGGCTGGGGGCCACTGGGGCCCCTGTGGATCTCTAGGGGCTGCACAGGGCTAGGTTGCAGTGAGTCTGGGCTGTCAGGGTGCTGGCACCCCAAAAGTTGGGATGGATGCCCTGGAGAGGGCAGAGGGTCTAAAACCCACTCTGCTGGTGGGGTGCTGGTGAGGTAAGGTGGGTGGCAGAGCCTGTGCCCATGTCCCCTGGAGGCTCCATGGTGCAGGGGCTCCTGGGGCAAGGGGTCCTGCTCAGGAGGGCCATGTGCCTCAGTTTCCCTGGGTGGGACGAGGTGACTGCCACTGCAGTGGCCGTGGCTGAGGCCGTGTCACTTAGGCACCCTGGCCAGGGGTTGTGACCAGGTGACAGCCTGGCATCGCCTTCCCTGGGGCAGGGATGGAGCCAACGGGGGGACAGGAAGGGGGGTGCGAGGTTAGGCCCGAGAGCACCCCAGGACTGAGCCAAAACATGGTGCACTCACTGAGAGGGTCCCCGGCCTCCTCCCAGGTTTGAGAGCGATGAGGGGGCTCCTTGCACCCCTTCCCCAACACCTGCCACCCAGGGTCGCCAGGGCCCATCCGTGTCCCATTCCCAGAAAAGCATATGCAGCCCTGCTGACCGCTGTGGGATGGGGGGTGGTTCCCCCTCCCAGGGACCTGGAGCTTGTGTGCCCCCCCACCTTGGTGCCCCCATTCAAGAAATCCTCATCATCCCCACTGTTGCCAGTCCCCGATGTTCCAAAAGCAGCATGGCTCAGTGCAGGCAGCACTGTGCCTCTGTGCTGGCCCTGCCTGTGCTCTGTGCTGTTCACTCTGAAGCCTACTAATGGTGTAAACACCATGGCGGGGTAGTTAATTCATTGTCACCAAAAGCCAGCTCCATGGAGCTCATGCCCTCTCATCAGTGAGAGAGCTTTGCAATGTGGTCTGGGTCAGGGGACTGAAATCAGGGATCCTGGGCTTTATTTCACGTCTCTCCACGGGGCAGTGGGGCAAAGCGGAGGGGGAGGGTGAGGCAGAGGAGTTCCCAGTGCAACCTATTTGTTGTTTCATGGCTGTGCCATGTGTGTGTGCCAGCTCGTGCGCAGCGGCCCCCCTTGGGGACCCCTGTGGAGCCCCTGCAGAGGAGGATGGGATGAACCCTGTGCCAAAGCGGCCTCTGCTTTCAGAGCTTCTGGCCGCAGGACTAAGAAATCCTCTGCGACTGCGGGGCGAGGAGCCAGGGTCTGACCTTCCTCCAGCTCCCACCTTCTGCCTCCTCCTCCTCCTCACCCCTCCTGGGACACAGCCAACCCCTCTGCACACAGGTAGGGTACAAGGGGGGACCCTTACCCTGGGGAGGGTGTCACCAGGGCTGGGTGACAAGAAAGAATCCCGGGGTGTCTCCTGCGTGCGCAAAGGCCCCTGGGACATTTGGCTGCTGGAGAAGCACGTGGCTGTCCTCGCTCGGGATGCCGGGCACGATGCCCGTGCCATGGCTGGGTGCTTTCGGCACCGATCCAGCCCGGAAGAACCTGGCTGGTGTTGAGCAAACAGCCTGGGCAATGGTTAACTCTGCCCCTGCCCTGCTGCCTGGCTGGGGACGGGGACTCGGGGGCAGTCCCCCCAGCCTCACCTGTCTCTTCTTCGTCTCCAGACTCGGCTGTGGAGCTGGGGACGTGTGGCGAGGCCCCAGGTGACAGCAGGTAACCCTTGCCGTGGCGTGGCCCTGGCTCAGGGTGTGTGGGGGACGCCTGGGAACACCGGGGGCTTGGGGACCAGGAGGATGGAGGAGGGGGTGGCCTTATTTGTGCTGGGGCTGTGGGTATCCCAGGGCTCAGTGCTGCTGCCTCCCACAACCGGAGGGAGACACCAGAGACAAGCAGGGTGACGCCACCTCATCTCTGCCCTGCGCTGCCATCCAGCCGTGCAGACCCCTTGTCCTCTGCATCCCCTTGGCCCTGCAAGCCCCCATCCCTCAGAGGGGCTCCTGCACCCTGTACTGAGCCCAGGGTGAGCAGGGCTGCGAGGAGGGACCCCAGCCGGTGCCACCCCCAGCTGTTCCCAGCAGGGCAGCCATCGCAGAGGCCATGGCGACCCAGAGCGGTGGGGGCCAGAAGCCCTTCCACATCGTCTCACCCCTCCTGGAGAGCCTGGCCCTGTCGCGGGCAGGGGGCACCAAGGTCTACATGAAGCTGGAGAACGTCCAGCCCACCGGCTCCTTCAAAATCCGCGGTGTCGGCCACCTCTGCCAGACAGTGAGTGTGGGCACATGGGCAAGGGGCCCTTTTCAGGGGCAAAACGGGGGTGGACACAGCCATCCCCCTCACTCCTTCTCTCCTGCTTTTCAGGCTGCCAAGAAGGGCTGTTGCCGCTTCATTTGCTCCTCAGGTAATTGGGCGCCAGATGCGGTGGTGGGAGCTATGGAGGATGCTCAGGGTGAGGGTTGAGCCCTGCCTGACACCCGCTTTCCGCAGGGGGCAACGCAGGTTTGGCAGCGGCATACGCTGCCAAGAAGCTGGGGTTGCCAATCACCGTGGTGGTCCCCAGCACCACCGGCCCTGTCACCGTGCGCAGACTGGAGGAGCTGGGGGCAGAGGTGGAGGTCTCCGGCCAGGTACCCCCGCGGCAGCCTCCTAAAAAAGGGGTCTATGGGGGGAAAACACACCAGAGGGGGTGATGCTGGGGATGTATGCGGCAAACCCCATCCCAAAATGTCCTCCTCCTGTGCCACCTGCACCTGGCATTGCAGCAGGGTTATGCTGAGGACCTGCACCGCAGCCCAGTGCCCCACATACTGGTGTCCCCTGGCCCCACTGTGACAAGGGACGCACCTCCGGGGTGCGAGGGCTGGATGCAGCCCTGCTGAGCCCGTTGCCCCTTGCCAGGTGTGGGATGAAGCCAACAGAAGAGCGCAGGAGCTGGCACAGACCAAGGGCTGGGTCAGCATCCACCCCTTCGACCACCCCTTGGTGTGGTGAGTGCTGCCAGGTCTCAGCTCCCACTCCCAGGGTCTGGGGGTGCCCCTCGGGGCTGCATCCTCCCACTGTCCTCATCCTCAGGGAGGGTCATGCCAGCCTGGTCCAGGAGCTGAAGGACTCTCTGGAGACCAAGCCAGATGCCATCCTGCTGGCGGTGGGCGGCGGGGGGCTGCTGGCAGGGGTGGTGGCCGGCCTGCACCAAGTGGGCTGGCAGGACATCCCCATCATCGCCGCCGAGACCTGGGGAGCTCACAGCTTCCACGCGGCACTGGCGGCCGGCCGGCTTGTCACCCTGCCTGACATCACCAGGTGAGAGGGACTTGGCAGGGGCTGCCATCCCTGCAGCAAGTTGGCAGGTCTCAGCCCAGCAGCACAGTCTGGGGGTGAAGGGGCCTGGGACCACCCTGACCACCTTCCTCCTCTTCTGTCCCAGTGTGGCCAAGTGCCTGGGAGCCAAGACGGTGGCGGCACGGGCACTGGAGTGCGCCCAGGAGTGCCAAGTCATCTCCCAGGTGGTGGAGGATGCGGAGGCTGTTCGAGCTGTGGAGCTTGGCAGGTCTCAGCCCAGCAGCACAGTCTGGGGGTGAAGGGGCCTGGGACCACCCTGACCACCTTCCTCCTCTTCTGTCCCAGTGTGGCCAAGTGCCTGGGAGCCAAGACGGTGGCGGCACGGGCACTGGAGTGCGCCCAGGAGTGCCAAGTCATCTCCCAGGTGGTGGAGGATGCGGAGGCTGTTCGAGCTGTGGAGCAGTGCCTGGGTGAGCGGGGGCATGGCAGAGGTGACAGGGACATGGCAGGGGTGATAGGGACACTTCTGGGGCTTGGGACTGGCCTGGGCCATGCTGACAGGGATGGAG